TTAGATCCGAATGGCTAGTAGCAGTATTATGCCCTTTGTGATAGACTTCGACGTCATACGAAGCTCAGAACCGTAGCTTTTTCTTTTTTTCTATAGTTGTTTTGTAACACATTTAGTGAACTTTAGTAGCGTTTTTCGAGATAAAATGCGTTTTTATAGGTTTTTTGCGTTTTTTCCCTTATATCAACTGCTAGTAGACTCACTAGATTGCTCGTCTCAAGACGAGTCGAATGGTATGTCATAAGTTTGTTTCTGGCGAGTATTTTGCATAGATCCGTTGAAATCCTGTCGAGCGCTAGAAACCGACCTTGTTACTGAAATATCTCAGCCAGTTCGCGTCTGGTAGTTGGGGAATTTTTTGTGGGGCCTCAGTGAAGTGTGGGCTACAAAATGTACGACTCAGATTTTTTTGGGGAACACTTTCGTTTTTTTTCAATAACCGTACAAAAAAGTTACGATTAGCTCATTTATACATTTTTTATTATCAACTACAACTGTTTTCTGTACACTATTAGTTTTGGTAAAGAAATTCGTTGCTCACTTGATCTTTTTTATTGAATTTTATCAACTTGTTTCAAATTTGAAAGTGTGCAGTGCCTCTGTTTTCCGAGCATAAAACTCGAATAATCTGTTTTGAACTTGTCTAATATTCGTCTGAGCTATAACTTACAGCTATCAACATTCCACGTCTTCTCAAACAAATCCGAACCATTATACCACCTACTAACTCAACCACAACCAACATTCAACGTAGTATACATTTTTATAATAAAAAGTGTCGACGAAACAAGAATCAATTTTAATTGATTAAAAACATATTGTCCACGAATCAAGATAAAAAAGTGTCGGTGAATCGAGCAAGAAATTAGTGTCGACGAAACAAGAATACTCCCTTTATTCTGATGAAGAGAACGTTGTTCTCGAAACGTCAGTAAATAATAGTCAAAGAAATAAGCTGACAAAAGGTATTAACGTTTTTTACTTATACATTTTTATAACAATCACTCCGAAGACGTTGGTTATGGCACAAATTTTTGGAAAATTTTTAATGCAATGATGTGTTTGACTTTGCTAATTAGCTAAACGATCAGACTGTTATCAGCCATTCAGATGTTGTTTTTCATATTTATTCCTCGCTATTACATTCTATCCACAGTAGATGTGTTTATTGCATCAATCGTCAACAACAGCAAAAAAGCCTTGACGATACGCCTCGCTGCGTTGCTTATTAAACAGTTTCTGTGTTATCGCACAGAAAGAACTAAATTATCAATGTGTCACTCTCGTTTCAGATTTGAATCTGAGAAGAAAAACCAGTTTAACAAGGTCTGTGGCATTACATATTTTCACGAAATAATTGAAGTATTTCGCTAAAATCAAACAAATCAATCTGAAGCAGTACTTCAGAAACAGATGAATATTATATTTTGGTCACTTAAATTAGCTTAGTTGCTGATTTAAAGCAAACATTATTAATCTTTATATACAGAGTTCAGATCTCCAAAGGAATTTCTTATTTTTCGTTTTATCAGTTTTTTTTATTGTATATATATATATATATATATACCCACTGCAACTAGTACTAAAGCGGGTTTGTCGTGGTGCAGCTAGCTACACGCGCTTAATTTTACCCTTTCAACTAGCTGCAGTCAATGGAAAGTCGATCGCTTCTTCATCAAGAGAAGTTAGCTTATTTCTTATGAAATTTCATGCTTGGGAAGTCATGCGTGTAAATATGTTAGCCAAAAACCTACGTTCATGACTCGCAAAGAGAAAGTCGATTTCTCGATACTCGCCATAAAACGTTCTTGAGTTGAAGGACATGAAATAAATCCGGATCATGTTTTTCCTCGATAAATAATTTTGTTATGCAACTTTTCATGCATAGCAATCCTCGCATATATAATCTCCACAGACTGCACTACTTTCACTGGCAGTTATCCAATAAAAATGATGGAGATCGGATCACTTAAAGTTCTCTATACATGTATATTGCTAATACTTGTATTGAATTATTCCAGCTCCGTAATCGGAGGAACAATCAAGGTGAGCGTATCTCATAAATATTGGAGATTACTAGCCGATTCAAAACCGAGACCAAATGAGAATATCAAACTCATTTTTGTCATCAAAAATAATGATACACAAGTTTCAAATTTAGAACAAAAGTTTAAACAAGTGAGCGATCCAGTGCATGCGGACTATGGTAACTTTTTGACCTATGATGAAATACATCAACAATTGCTCAGTGAAACAACAAAAAATGGTAAAATCGTGGAAACTTGGTTAAAGAAACATAATATGTCCCATATCACATCCACTGCTCATAAAGAGTTTCTGATTGTCCAGTCATCGGTGCGTCTTATTGAACAATTGTTACAAACAACGTTTCTCACTTATCAGCATCGTACCAAGCAACAATTAACATTCAGAGCCAAACAATTCAACTTACCGAGCACTGTTTATGACAAGATCGATTATATTGACCAATCAAGTGAACTTCTAACAGTATCAGGTTCAAAGATACCAGCATCAAGTGAGAGCCCATCTAAGCATCCACTAGCTGTTGACAGCCCATCAAATGCTCCTAATTTACTGTTTCTTGATAGAAGTGGAAAACGCATTGAGTTTTTTATCCAATTAATCTGCTCAAATGGTGAAAACGCATCTGATACCGTATGTCCAGAATTTCGAGGCTATGAGATTACTCTAATAGTTCTTTCAGCGACGACACAGCAAACTGTATCTTTAGCGGAGGCCAATTGCCAAGTGTGTTATGAAGCTGGGGCCAGTATTTTTGATGCATGTTTCAACTATAACTTGAATGATGATAGTGTGTTATGTCGCTTTTATATCAGCAATATTAATATTCAAAAATATCAACAGATTACAGTTTATGTTCAATCAAAATTTGTAATGGATGGTGAAACAACTTATTCTCTTCCAGCCAGCCAACCATTTGAACAAGTACCTCACGTTACACCGTCACTTTTGGCATCATTATATAAGGTCAATATGAGTATAATTAAACAGAAACGTCTTGCAAAGAGTAGGCAAGCCGTTGTTGGATTTGGACAATATTATAATTTGAAATCGTACAAAGCATTTTCACAAAGTTATGGAAAAAACTTTAATATAAGAATTGGTAAAGTATATGGAGAAGATTATACGAACAAATCGTACGATGAAGGTGAAACAACGCTGGATATGGAATATATGGCAGCAATGGGTGCCGGTATTGTAACCGATTACATTTCGTCAAAAAATGACGAAGTTTCATTTACACCGTTTTTTACTAAATTAGCGCTTTTAGAGTCGGATAAGCGTAATATTGTTCCATTAGTTTATTCTATAAGTTATGGTCTAGATTCAAAGGAAGCAGGATTAAAAATCGTTCGTATGAATGATATACAATTTATGAAACTGGGCGTCTCGGGAAAGACGGTTTTCGTTAGTGCAGGCGACGATGGAGTATCAAGCTCGAAAGGTTGTACAAAACGTTTTATAGCAGTGTATCCGGCTTCTTCACCTTATATCACAAGTGTTGGTGCTACACAACTGATTCTCGGTGATAAGAGCAATTGTCGATATATACCACAAGAGCGTAGTAAATGTCTTGAAGAAATTGTTGCTTATACAAACGACTTAACAGAATGTAGCATAACATCCGGTGGTGGATTTTCGATCTATCATACGAGGCCAACCTGGCAAAAGGCAATGGTTCAAAATTATTTGAGTACTGCTAAGAAGCGTCTACCACCACTAACATACTTTAAGAAAAACAATCGAGCATATCCAGATATTACTCTACTTGGACATGATTACTCAACGAAAGAGAAGGGTGGCAAAGATAACGCGTTTGAAGACGGTATGTGTAAAGAACGGTTGTTACTGCGTATAATAAAAACTCTTGTTTTGGTTTTTAGGTACATCAGCCAGTTCTCCGGCAACTGCTGGTTTATTCAGTTTAATTAATGATCAGAGATTGAAACTTGGTCTGAAACCGCTAGGATTTGTAAATCCTTTACTTTATCAATTAGCAAAAACAAATCCAGAGGCATTCTACGATATTGTTAAAGGTAAAAACAACTGTAATACCCAGTCAGTATGTTGTCCCTATGGTTTTGAAGCACAAAAAGGATACGATCCGGTCACTGGTATTGGGTCAATCAATCATGAACTGCTGATGAAATTACTCACGGAAAAATGAAGTAGTTAATTACAGTAAATCACTTCATATAAAAAGAAACTCTTAGTTCCACAATTCACTGATCGACGACTGCTGGTTCATACTTAATAGCTCAATTATCTGCACGGCTTCTCCACGGAACATGAGACTTCGCTGATCAAGTTTTTGAAAAAATTATTTTAGAGTAGAACTTATAGGAGCATATCACTAGATGCAGTTTTTGACGCTGATTAAGAATCTCGCATTAGTTTTTGAGAAACGTTAAATTTTGGTCCTAAAAATCCAGTTTTACGTTTTTTGAAAACTGTATTTTCAATTACCTCACCTAGACACTTTTCCTATTAAAAATGGAAGACCATACCAATCGATAGAGAATTCGATTGTCTACAAGATGATATGTTTCTTTTGAAGTTTAGACTCAGAACAAGCTTTTTAATAAAGCTTTAAAGTTTTAAGATTTTCACACAATTCTAAGAAAGTGAAAACATTTTTCCAGCTTTATTTTCACCTTAGTCTATATTAGATCTCTAAAGGTAAGTCTGATGAAAATGAAACCCTTTGAGCAATGTTTAGTGCTCCAAACTTTGTTGGGAAAAACGAGTGTCACAGCTTCACGAAACATGTCACAGTGTCACGACGATAAAACACAATTATTGAGATATGGAAAGCTCTTTGGAAAGATTCTTTTTTAACAATCAGTAGCTCGTTTACTCCTCTACAAACTTTGCTCGAGACGCTTTTTATTAGCTCTTCTAAATTCGCAGCAAATTAGCTCTTAACGAGAAGCACTTCGAATTTAGGGCCTTTTTTTGTCACAGCGTCACGCGCCGAAAAACGGTTCTAAAAACTCGAGTCTTAAACCACATACCTTCATTTTTATATCAAAAGTAGAGAGTATGGCGAACTGCTCGAGTGACGCAACAACGAAGTTTCTAGCTCTTACACTTTTTGAGCAAAACTCAAATTACTGTGTCAAACATGTGACAGCATCACACTTGGACAAGCCGTGCACAATTTTTATTTAGCGCTTTCTTCCTATTTCACGAAAAACCTTTGCGATCTAATCACTCCGCACACGTTAGATGTAACATAATTTTAACTATATTTTTTATACATATTTTATCACTGAAGAAGACCTTTAACCTACAAGAGGTAGAAACGTTTGTTTGTCAAATATTTTTAATTTGTTTTAATAAAAATACGAAAGAAAGTATCTACCTGTTACTCAAAAAGTAGTCTTCTCCATACGCCATTGTACGTCAGGAACATACCAATATAGATAAATATTTTCGCTGTTCTAATTAAGTAACTAAAACGAACTTTATCAGAAACTTAGATCAGATTAGTTTTGTTAGATTCATAATAAGCAGTTTCCATCATGAAGAACGCGTTTTTCTGAGCTGGAATTAAGAAAAGAGAATAATACAGTAAATTTAATTTCCGATACATTTTTCTCTAGGCAGAACGTTTGAAAACGCTTTCTACCTAGTAAAAAGTCAGAGATAATTAAAAAGTCGCATTTACACTCAGAAGGAAGCGTTTCCCAAATTTGGGCCAAGAAGAAAAATACACTCCAGATTTGGCCCGGAAAAATGCTTCCTACATGGCAAAAGACTATTGCTCACTTTACTGTAAAAAGTAACAATTGCTTTTTCAGAAACGAGCTTCACACACTAAGTGTCCCGCGAGATTTTCCAATGCTGTTTTTCTAATCTTCGTTGATACTCAAGTTTTCTTCGCGATTTCCTTAGCCTTTTTTTCTACGATGTAGAGCATATGCTCAAATTTTAGGCTTAAATATTTTGTATTTTTCGGCAAAAATCATATAGAGTATGCATCTTTAACAGTTGTTACCAACACATTAAATGCCGATCTTGTAACTCTACTTTCTAGTAACTTCACTAAATACCAGACAGACACTTTTGATTGGAATAAGTATGTCACGTAAGATTTCTGAAAACCAAGGTTTTCCACTTATCCATTTACATAAAATAATTTATTTTTGTTTTTTTCTTCTATGCATCTACTCAGAGCCGAATAACTTTTTATATAGATAGATAGAGAAGTTTTGGCGCGTACAAAAGGAGACGTCGCTGAGGTCTGAGAGACATTCTTTCATGAAATAGCATTCAGTTTATAAAAAGGCGTGTGGGAATGTCTTTCTCGTTCTACCGTTAATTTTGCTGGTATGCGACCTTTTGTAAACTGAATGTTGTTTCATGAAAAAGTATCGCACGGAGTGTGATGACGTCTCGTGTTGTTCAAAAATGTGTGCTCTACACGACTGGATTATTTACAAAGAATTTCCGGGTCACATTACGCGACTTTTCATTGGACTGCATGAATATAAGGTTCGACCAAGGCGAACTTTCAGCAAGATCTCAGATCTTTTTCATTTGAATATGTTCTGTTAGAGGAGAGTCTGCTGCATTCAGTGATGAACTTTGTTTTTCAAAAAAAGCTTTTCTTCCCGGTAAAAGTCGCAAAATGCTGAGAGGTCCCAAAAAACATTGAAAAATGATCATTCCAAGCAAAAGAGTCTAGTTCATTCCCAATCCACTTTCACGGTCTGTAATGTTGTTTTTCGGATTCAGCAGATCAAACTACCTATACCTATGTTATTTCGAAGATCTTCTCTTGCAACGTCACTTTTGTAAAAAGGTTCGTTGCTAGGCAAAAACTTTGAGAAGGTGACTCGTCGCAAAAAGCTATCTAGTTTTTTGTCTCAAGCGCTAGAGGCCTGATTCTTCCGCCATTCGAACCGCCATGCCTTGGAGCACAATAGTATACGGCCAGATTTTCTAAGTTTTCTTCAATTGCTGAGAAAATTAAGTTTTTCTGGAAAAGATGTCAAAAAATCCATATTGGTCTCGTAATTCTCGATTTTCTATACTACAACATATTTTTCTTGAAGAAAGAATATCATATTCGGAGTCAGCACAAAAAGTGGAGTCAGACAATATGTGTTCATCTCTAATCTAACTCATTTTGTTTTTCGCGAATTTTCCGGCCGAGCAGTCATATTGATTTGCAAGGTAACTGATCAAAAAATGAAAATTGGGCAGTAGCCCTAGAAGACATCGACACTAACTCCATTTTTTGTGCTGATTCCGAATATATGGCATGAATGAAAGTGAAAGTTTCGTTATCCACTCTCCTTTCGTCCAAATGAAACAGTACACGTAATATTAAAATAATATTATTATATGTAAAATATTAGTATACATAAAAACAACAACACATAAAATGAAAAATTTCATTAAAAATTCAATATCTCGTGTTCCTCTTTTGAGTCCAAAGTTTTTCTTTTGTCGTTTTATCGCCCCATCCTTCCACTATCTATTCTAAAAGTCTGAAGCTTACTGAGCTGGTTACGCACGAGACAGTGACACAATGGGCATCCAAGCGGAAATTAGGCGAAAAATTCGTTCTGCTGATTTTTCAAATATGAATAGTGCAAAATGTAGCCCTTTTAATTCTCTATCGAATGGTGTATAAATGTCTATTTTGATGTCGTCTCCGTCGAGGAGAAATAAGGACACGAAAAGTATATGACGAATATCGAAAAACATGACACGAATGCTGGAAACTGTGATTTTTTATTCTTACATCTATGTTAAAACATTTAGAAACACATATTCGGAACCAGCATGTCTTCACCTATCTTTTGATAACACAATGTATATACTTCAATACAGATTTCAATGTATAACACTATACGGATTCATCATAATATCAGTTCGACCTAAGACCACCTCACTGCAGTCGAATTTCCCACGTTTCTCCCACTTCAAAATAACATTCAAATGTATGAAAATGTTCCTCAGACCCTACTCTACTTATGCTATTTGCACAAAATTGCACATATTTCTCTAAGTCGAATTCTGGATTTTCCAAAACCCATAGGGGTTTTGAGGTATTTCGAATATTTCTCCCTTATAAACACACATTTCGTCAAATATAATACCATATTCGGAATCAGCGTGAAACACTGCATCGAATGATGTATAGCTTTTTAATTTTTTTGCAGAAATATTTCCGATCAAATTGAATTATAGACTTGAAATAAAAAGCAGCAAATTTTGCTTAGGAATTTGGATATTTATTTTAGCAATAGTACACAAGTCTATAAACACATTTTTTATAGATTTTCGAATATGATCTTT